AAACACGCGTTTCTGAGGAAAGTTACGCATATTTTTCCCTGAAATTTTCAGGCATTCAGAATTAAACTGCGAATAAACGCGTCTGAAAAATTTAAAGACAAATATTCACATTTATCCCAACTAAATTCGTTTCTCTTCCAAGGAAATACGGCAACGTCTGAGGTCTCATACGCTGTTTTCCCTCAGCGCGGCAGGAACAGGTTCCGCTAGGTGAGCGCAGCGCAATGCGAATAAATTGGCGATCTGCACTACTTCATGCGTAGAGCATTAATATGCAGGTAGACTCGAATTGAGCGCGCCTTGATATCGCGATTAAATGTTACGACCCTAGTAGCTGGACCGGGAACTCGGGAAGGGACCGCTGTGACGTCACCGGCTCGTTCGCCACCTGTTTCCCTGTTCCCACGACCTTGCCCTCGACCGCGCCGCGCGCCTACATGATCGCAATCGGTGTGTGACCCTTTATTTTTCGACTGTTTATTCAATCCCGATGGAGGTTTTGTGTTCCGCGAGACCTACCCCTTTGAACACCTGATGATTGACAGGTCTGTTTCGAAACTAGCTTTACTCCGAAAAAGAAGGGGAAAAGCAGTTCCGACGACAAAGGAAAGACAAATAAGCATTTTAAACGAATTTTGAGTCGGGCTTTGTCGGGAAGTTAATTTAATTTACATTAAACCGACGCTCAAAAAGGAATCACTTTAAGCACATCAGTCCGTCTTTGCCGTGAGTTCGTCGCTTCCCGAACGATGGAACGTAACTCCATTCCAAAGTTGCAAAATTGACTCAAACAACTGCCGAACTTCCCCTTGCAAATTTCATATTTGCAAGCAGAATATTGGAGATTTCTAACGGAAAATTTCACTGATTTTTCCTCAGAATTCATGGGTAAGGCAGACAGATTGTAAAGTTACATTTATGTAAAATAAATTAACTGTACGAGTCAATTTGGCAACCTTCGAATTGAGTTTCGTTCCTTCAACCAGAAGAAGAAAAAAAGTTCTGTTTCGAAACGAGAAGCAGGCTCTCGGCATTACAGATTAAATAGGAAAGTTAGTGTTTGAGGGAGGCTGATGAATATCCGCTGGCTAACTATTCTGATCTTCCAACAGGGTGTTTACTAAAACAGACTGATCGAAAATCAATTCTTTTACAGTAATTTTTCAGTACATTCCCAAGAAATTCAGTACCTCCTCAACAGAAAATTCAGTGCTTTTTCAGTACCTCTAATGGACGAAATTGAAAAAATGTCAAAAGTTTGAATTTCTCGCTCAAATTGCGACAACACTGTCCAAAAAATGATTAAAATTCCGGACCATCTTGCATAATTTCCGCACTTTTTTAGTATTTCCGGACCGCCCTTAAAAAATCAGTACTATTCCCGGACTTTCCAGAAATTCCGGACTTGTAGACACCCTGTCCAAGTTCCTTGAACGATGAAGGATAGGGTGGTATCAAAGACAGAGATCAAGATACCGAAAGATTACGATACTTATTCAACATAGGGTAAAAGCTAGAATCACAGCTGTTAAAAAATAAAAGAGGGGACCGATGCGCTACATCGAGGCGCGGGGTGGAGGACGGTTTGGCGCGTGAATACGGATGCCCGCGACAGCGACTGACGAAACCTCGGACCGAAACCGAAAGAAATGATTGGACTGTTCTCGAAAGGGTCCTCCAACACTCACACTCGTGAGCTCTAAAAACCGCGATGGACACGCGAAACGAAGGCTCGAGGCCCGGGGCCTTTAGAAAATGAGCTGTTCGGACGATGAGGAAGATGCGTTGGGCCGAGGGGTAGGAGGGCGTCGTGGGTCACCCTCAAGTCATTTTTCACACGGTTAACAACTCTCGAGCCGACCCTCCGGCGGAGGGACCCACCTTCGGGGCCCTGCTTGGTGCATCCGAGGGAGACGGTCACGCCGGGATGCTCCCGCGCTTGCGGTGAAAATAAGTTGCCAAAAATCTGGAAGCTAGGCGAGCGTTGCCAAATTGAACGGTTGGTGGTCAATGGACCACTGGACAAGGTGCGAAGTTAAGCATTCAGATATATGGGCTTCATTTTGCAATTCAGAACTACAACTTCCGACCCATCTATAAAAACACTTATCTGGATAGAGAAACTAAATGGTACGTACGATGGTTTCAAACTGAGGCACAATTTATAGTTCCTAATAGCAAAATGTAGTCCATATGTTCCTTAGCCAAAATTTAACGTAGAGCACGATTCGTGCGACGAAAATGACTGAAATTGTCCTCTAACCAAGATATGTAATGTTTCTTGACGCGCACTGGAAAAAAAACACATTGGTTCTACAGTTCAGACTCTTGAAAACATCGACAGGAAGAATACTCTGGATTCAATCAGATTTAAGCTTAAATCAAGAACCAAGCCTTTTAATTTAAGCGGATTTCCTTTTGATTTAAGCTTAAATCTGATTGAATCAAGAGTATTTTTCTTGTCAATGTTTTCAAGAGTCTGGACTCTAGATCCGATGTATTCTTTTTCCGGTGCGTGAATTTAACCTCCCGCTCATAAAGACAGAGTGGTCGCCGTATGTCAGATCGCAAACTAAACGTTACGGTGGCAGTCTCTGCGATACGAAAACATGACAATCTCAATTTTGATGCTTTGGCTCAGCTATAGCAAATTGTTTACACTTTGAACAATAAAAGGTGGGAAAGAAACAATGTTTGATTAAGACGCCAGCAAAAACCGTTGTAATGCGCGATTTGACTCACGTGGAGTATTGAGTTTCTTGTGACAGGGCAATTCAAATTTACCATTACCTATGTAGAATAAAAACGTTAATATCTTAATCAGGAGTTGATTTCAGGAATTTGCAATGCGAGAATCGTATGTTACGTGAAATTCTGACTAAGAGACATGTATCGGAATACATATATTCGTACCTTGTCTAGTGGTCCATTATAAGAAAGACGATTGGACATCTTCGGTAAAAGGGTCTGCAACTAGGGTGCCTACTAAAATTTCATTTTGGATTTTCTTGATATTTAAAATGAAAGTTTCTGATTCTTGGCACGGATCAATTAAAACCCTCAATTTGAAAAAATCGCAACAGAGAAACAGAAGGAACTGTTTTAAAATAAAAAGGGAATAGAACGGGAACTCAGAATAAAAAAAAAGAAAAATCGATGTGACAACATCAGGAGGGATGAGGGCGAGAGCAGACAGATTTCTAGGAAATAAGCAGGGATGCTCCTTTATTTTGGGTGCGATACGGCGCGGCGCAACACCCTTGGCACCCAGAATCCCCCACTCAAGGGCTCTCCGAGGCTAAATGTACCAACAGCGAAAGGGGGTGTTACTTTTATCCCTAATTCTATTTCAGAACTACATTGCTTACTGTCCGTTTTAGATGGTACTTCTGGACCGACTCAACTTTTGGCATCTTTTTCCGAAATAGATGCTCCTCATTAAAAACTTGAGAACGTTTTGCCCGCCCTCTACGAACTCGACTTTATTGGAAAATCGTTTTTGTGGAGAATCTAGAGGTCATTTGATAGCTAGCGCGGCGTAACCACTGGCGATTTTGCAAGTTGTCAACACTTCTTCCATTTAAATCCATTAAAAATATCGATTTGAGGTGAAGCAAGCTGCCTGACCAAGAGTCGATCGTTTTACGTGCATTCAAATGGAGGAAAAACAGCATTACCAACTTTCAAGAGTTATCACTGGGCGTAACGGATTTCCTAGGTTCTATTCGTCGGCAAGTGCACTATACTTAAAATTTTCTCGATGATTATCAAAGAGAATTTTTTTTTTTTTTAAAAACGAGGAAGTTACTACTTTCAACTGTCTGCAGAAAATGCAAGATCAGTAAGTTGACACAGACACAACCTAGAGGGCGTGCAATGCAATGAAACAAGATGGCAAGAGCCAGCGTATTTTTTAGAAAAATACGGACTAGGTAATAAAAAAAGTTCCTCTCAGATTCTCAAGAGCATGGTAATCCTGAGAGTAAACACATGAAACTCACGGTCAGGGGCAAAAGTGTTGATTCGCAGGCTGAACCATGCGATGAGCGTTGATAAACACGCCAAAAGACACTCGGAAAAGTTGAGAAAAAATATAAAAAGATGCGGTGAAAGGTGAAACACTGTCGATAAGGTTCACGGAGAAAAAGTGTAAAACAACTTTTTCATCGTAAGAGGGAAGGGTGAACGTAGAAAAGAGGTTGGGTTGGAGGATTTTGCAATAACTTTCTTTCTTCGTGAGGATTTTACTTTTCGGATCCATGCGTCGCAAAAAATATTGAAGGGTGCGGTTTGTTATGCGTAAAAAATGAAATGAAAAAAGTCGAAGGCGCTGTAATGCGAGGAATCATGACGGGGAAAAAATTGAAAAAATACTAAAATAGGGTAGATTCCTTGTAGCCCTTTCTTCATATTCAACGCAAAAAAAAAAAGGAAATCATACGAGACAGAATGTTTGATTTAAGCTAAAATATGGTGATGTAACAACACCCCCCCCCTCCACTCAAAAAGATCAGAAATAAAGATGAAAATCGGTGAAGAGCGGATGGTGCGAACATGAGAAAGGGTGTAGGAGAATGTAACGGACGAGCGGAGGGGTGAAAAAGCAGTCAGGTGAAAGAAAAACGGAGGGGTTATAGGTTTAAATCGAGCGATATTGGGAGTTTTCACGGATTTGAAAGTCCGGAGATTCAAGGTCCTGTAAGCAACCGTTAAAAATGTCGAAGTGAAATCCGCAGTGCAGTTGGTTCCGGAGCCTCTTTTGCCACCGGAAAATTGGTTGATAAGAATATAAGTAGTAAAATTCGCTCATAAAAGCGGAGAAAAGACTTAGTCTAGCTCCACATAATAGTTGCTCAATAAGAGCAGAATCCCTCCTTTAACTGCATTCCTGATTTCACTCCGAAATTTTCAACAGGGTATATGTATGAATGTATGAAGTTATGAATGAAGAATAAAGAGAGTTAACTAATGAAAAAGTAAAACGAGTGAACGAGTCTTACCTCATTTGGTTCGGAAAGCTCGAAGAGGTCCAATCTGTTGGCGTTCCATTGCTGGATGACCCCGCGCAAGGTTTCCACCTCCTCGTTGCGCCGGGCCACCATCGCCATTTCAGGGTTCATTTTCCCCCTGAAACAAACAAAAATAACGCCAACATTAGGTACAAATAGCATTAAAGCACACTGAGAAAAAAAGCTACGGGCTATATAGACATACCGTCCGTTCAGGGCTCAGAGGCCGAAACTACCGGGTGCTGGAGTCGTAACTTCGATACTCCGGGTGCTACACCAGGGACTTTCGGCCTTTGAGCCCGGAACACGGACGGTATGTCTACATAGCCCGTAAGTACGACTTCCACGACCGGAGTGTTTTTTTTCAGTGCACGATTAATTAAAGAAAAAAAGCAGATAAACAGTCTAGTGAGATAACTCATTAAACTCTTCATTAAAATATTTTTGGTGCCTGTAGAGTTACATGCATCCTGCAGAAATCTTGTAATATTCTCATAAAATATTAAAAAAATACTAGGCGACACGTATATTTTTTCTTCTTTAATTTTGCCATTTCCTTATCGCTCCTGCTACTCGATGATAACCCGGTTTGCAGTCGAACCGTAGAATTTTTGTTAACAATTATTATTCTACTATACCAAAACTGCCGAATGCCCCGATATTTTTGGAGATTTATCTCTTAAATAAGTCAAGGCTTCACATTTTCCTCATCAAATTATAGATCGTTTGTGTTACCAGTTACCTCTTTTTTCCCGATCACCAAGAGTCCTCCAATTTGGTTCTCCTTTTAAGGAGATGTAACAAGCATATGAACCGCAGGTTCAAATAAAATGTCTCAAGGGAATCTCTAGAAAGAATCATTCGTAATTGATTTTTTATTGATAAAAATCTATATGAATGTTGAGCGCATGTTGAGTCGAGACGCAGACACTCAATTTAACGGAGCATAAGATGGGATCAACCGCGGAAAGAATGAATTATGCGACAAGAAAAGGTATCGAAACTTGTTTGACAGTCTGAAAAGGAGTCATGCCTTCCGCCTATCAAAGAATCATTACGAAAAGGGTGCGAACAGTAACAAAAAGATGCTCTTTTTTTCCTTGACAAGGGGTGCGAAATCTAAGATGATTTCCTCATTCCTCGGTGTCTCATCTTCCATCCATTATGTGTTGTATAAATTAGAGAGCAGTCGAATGGATACCACCGCGCTCAACAGTCAACAGGTTCAACGACGGCTCGAGGGGTGCCAAAGTGTATTGTTTTGACCTATTTTGAAACACCACTTCATAGGCAGCAGGGTATGGAGCCATACCCTGGAAAAATTCATTAATCACAGGACAAAAAGTGAGACAGTTTTGCGCAGTGAGAAAAATTTACTTTTGATTGGGGAGCAATGCGATCAGATGTGTGATATAAAAGAACCGTCTTTGAGGGTTGAACAATAAAACGTTGAAATTTAAAAAAAATATAATTAAATAAAAACACTACAGTTCTTTCGCCATCCTACAGAAGAAGAAAAAACTGTGACATTTCTGTGACTGTGTGAACGTTTTCCAGCAAAAACGCTATTGTCAATGGTAACGCTGATGTCTGACGGTAATATTATCGTTTGAATCCCTGCTCCGTATGTTCTTCATGTCAAATCGATTTTGCTCCCCCCCTCTCCCCCCCAAAAAAAAATAAAATAAAATTGGCCGTCTACCCCAGAGCTGATGCCACAAGTAGAAAAAAAACCCACACGTAGATTATATATTAAAATGTCCGTGGAATAGAAAGTTTTTTTTTCCTTTTTAAACCAATTTCTAATAGCCTATCGGCTAATCCCACGCTTATTACCCCAGCCCCAGGTGACCATTGCCCGAGACCAACAAACTCAGATCACCTGGCCGGGAATCGAACCTGGGACCTCTCGGTCATAGGGGCAGCGCTACAATCACAACACCACTGGAGGCCGACAATTCCATTAATGAGCAATTTCCCAGACAATGCATTAATGAAGGTTTCCATTAATGCATGACACGGTCAATGTCCCCATTCCTTGAAGCATTTTCCAGATTCCCTGCAAGATTCCAGACTTTCCCGATGCTCCTGGCGAGGTGCGAGGTGTGATTAACGGAGACTTATGAAAACAAGGGATCAAACTGAAGAAATTATCAATTCATCGGTTGACAATCGAAACGTTCTCGAAAGTTCTACAGCGAAACTACAGTTCTACTTTTGTGACACCATGAGCGAGAACCAATCAGAATTTGATTTTTTTTGGGGGGGCCCAAGACCAATCCACACAGGTCAGTCATTCCCGAGGACGAGTTTTGGTACTCTACTGCGCAGTGACGTAGTATTGAGTGCCTGCAATGTAGTTCTTATGGGAGCACCTATTGTGACGTAGCATTGAGTGCTACGAGTTAGGGCCGGGCGGGGGAGTGGATTTCAAAAAAGCTGCACAATGACTGACCTCACTTTAAGCCCAACCAGAATTGAGTTGTCTTAGCTTTGGGTACAAAGGGACTCTAGTTGTTCCTTAAACCCGTCTTTATCCATATCCACCGTGGCAACAGCGGTGACCCGCAGGGTTAACTAAGGTCAGAGGGGAGCGGAGAGAGCAGCGGGGTTGGGCAAGAGCAAGAGCGACTAACACCTGACGTCGCGTCGCGGGACCAGGCCAGGGCGTCGTCTTCATTCAAAGCCCTCCACGGATCCGAGTGGAGTGGAGTACCATGAGTAGATGATGGTAATTTGTAAGACAAAAGTGAACACAAACGGATCATTTTATCACTGGCATCTCGGCCGAGCGTCTCCTCTCCCTCGAGTGTCCCCTGTTGAATATGCCCCGCCGCACGGTGAATCGAGTCGATGAGAGAGGTCGGACAAAATTTGGAACCTTTAAACACTTATAAATCCGTTTATACAAAAATCTAAGGTTCTGCAAGTGGTTTCATTGGTTTTCTCGTGAAATTTTCCTCCAGTAGGACCCCTTGAACTTTGAAATGTGACGAAATAAACATAAAAATTTTCGATTTTCACCGACAATTTCACGTTCGACCTCTCTATTAACTCGATAGACTGTGCGACGGGACCTAGACCGGGGAACCATGCCCCTTCATCTTTCCTGAGCTCGGATCGCAACGACCTTCTTCCGAGCTCGGATGGAACATCACACTTGGCAACGTCCGAGAGAAATGGACGTATTTCTGCCGGACGGAACTATGTGCATTAAAACATGAACCCTGAGATCCATAAGAATGCATGCATAAAGGGGCTCACGTCATAATGCACATAGTTCCTTTTAACATAAATACGTCCAAATGATGCAGCCGCTCGAGTCCATTATGACCATCGTCGCAGCGCCGAAAGAGGTCACGAAATGCACCCCTAGAAAGGTTCCACTTTGCCGAAGTGCGAAACTTCTATTTGCGACCTTGTGGACTTCCTGTCATACTTCATGTTTTCATTAACACCCTCAGCGATATGGATACATGGCAACCCTAAAAACTGACCACGGAAAATATTTTGCAGTTCAAGAAATTATGAGGGTTGCCACAGAATTAGGAAGACGAATTGCCCTGACACACTTCTGTAAAATTCCCTGGCTACCAAAGATATACCAGATGGTTAGAAAAACATAATTTGAGGCAGCTTTCAGGTATTTGTAGTTAGAAACCAGTGGCGTGGCGTGCTTTGCGATTTATCGATTGATCTGCCATTTAAGCCTATGGAAAAGGATTGATATACATTGATCATTCACGCCACGCCACTGTTAGAAACGTCCAACCCATTCTTGGTAGCAAATAAACGTGACTCAACAATTTTCCCCTCACATTTACGTTATTTTCCCTGAAATTTCCAGGTTTTCCTTGACTTATTAAAATTCCCCGACACTTTCCGATTTCCCCTGAAAGCGGCAACCCTGAATTCCATTCAACATTCCGGATACGATTAAAAATAGAACGCGAAAAAAAGAAACATAATATATCCGCTTTATTAAAAAAAATGCCGATCTGTATTCATGATCAGTCTGAAATCGAGATCCTCCAATCCGTTCGTCCGCCCACGGATCTCGCATTCTTCGCAATCGCGACTTGAATCAAATCCGCTGCATCGTAAAAACGCATTTCGCCGTGAGCGAAAAATGAGACGAGAGCTTTCTCTGGCACTATTGAATTCTAGTTACAGCTGTGTTACAGTACCATGTTCGGGAAAACATCAGGATGTTGCCGAATTTTTCACCCGAATATGAATTTGCCAGAAAAATTCTCATCATTTATTCCTGCGGGCTGATTCTTGAAATTGATAGACAAAGCGATAGACAAAGAAAACATACGAAGTGTGGAGCAATCCTATTGGTTGAAATGGGTGGTTCCTCTAGAATAAGGGAGGAAATGCTGAACTAATTAAAGAGTCTCTCGTGGGTTACCATTACTTAGTCTATGACCTATCTCTTTTGTCCATTGCAAAAATCATGTGCTTTGAGGGGACAAATGGTACATACGATGTTCCCAGACATGTCTAAGACACATTTTGGTGAAATTCTCTTAGGAATGAAGATGTATTTTATACGTCATGGAGGTTGAAAAAACATAATTCGAAATAGCTTCCGCGCCTTTGCTGTTCGAAACGTCAAACCCATCTAGAAAACAAATGAAAGTGATTTAACAATTTTTCCCTGACACTTCCGTCGTTTTCTCTGACTTTTCAAAAATCCCAGACAATTCCCTGACTGTGGCAACCTTGTAATATTCTACAAAAAATATCAACACACACCCATTTCCGCGTCACAAAATCAGCTCTTTTGCTGAAATTTCAGCACATATCTAAGAGCTTACCAGACGTATGTGTTATTTTTCCTCCGAGAGTATGATGTGACTGGGTCGAATGAACCTCCTCCCGGACCGTATTTACTTACTTTCCCCGGTTGAAACGCCTCTGCGCGCTCCCATTTTGAAATTCCACATGAGTAATTAGAGACGGGTTGACAAGGTCTCGGTGCGTTGATTGAACCGGGAGCGAGGGAGGGGGTGGGGTTCCGAGGGGGGCACAGGGGGCCAGGGACCTCGCCA